GTTGCAACTCTTTTACAATAAAATTAAAGTTAACAATGGTGTATTATAATCTTTAAAGGAATTCTTTATTTATTTTTTGGAGACAGGGTCTTCCTTTGTTGCCCAGGCTGGAATGCATGCAGTGGCCCAATGGTGGCTCACTGCAACCTCAAACTCCTGGACTTAAGCAATCCTCCTGCCTTAGCCTTCTGAGTAGCTGGGATTATAGGCATGCACCATCATGCCCGGCTAATTTATTTTTCTATTTTTTTGTGGAGACAAGGGTCTCATTATGTTGCCCAGGCTGGTATCAAACTCCTGGCCTCAAGTTATCCTCCCACCTCACCCTCCCAAAGTGCTAGAGTTACAGGCCTGAGCCACTGTGCCAAGCCTGCTTCTATAGATTCTCATTTGACAAAATATATACTGTGATAACCTTTAAGCGTCTACTTTGATTTATAATTTTATTTTTTAGTGTGTGGTCTGTATCACTTAAACCAGTTTAATTTTCCTCAGTAATGCTTTTTAAAAATGACTTTTACCCTTTAGTTTATAAATAAGTTAAATTGCCAATAGTATTTCTCTTTTAAATACTATATTTTACCGTAAACAGAAATGACTTTTTGTTTTATCTTGATATCCCACCGACATCCCCAGGACTATTTATATGACTATGATAAGAGACAATTTGTGTTGATGAGGAAGTAAAGACATGTCACATGCCCAGTGAGCTCCCTATGACTATAGAGAAACTGTGTAAATGTCAGGGTAGAGTAGGTAGGAATTTCTGTCCCTGATGGAAGTTTGTATCTGATGACCTTTAAGATCCTTTCCAACTCTAACACCTTATCATTCAGTAAATATTACTATTTGGTCACTATAATTTATATACTACAATGAGACAGAAATCTTTTTTAAAAAATAAATTTGTGGATTATGACTTATGTGTATCAAAGCAGTAATATAGCCTATAATGCTTTTAAACATGAAGTTTGATTTGAAGATTATATTAAAATATTAGTCTAATGTACAAATCCCTCAGTGACAAGTTGAATGTGAACTATGTATCACAGTGTTCTGGATTCATATGTTAAATTGATTTATTTCTGCCTTTTTGGACCAGGGTTCACCAGTAAAGCCTGTAGCCATTAGGGAGTTTCAAAAAACAGAAGATATAAGAAGATATTCACATCAAAACAGGTTTGAAAAACCAATTCTACTTAATTTCTTTCTGTCTTAAAACTCAAAGATAAGAGCATAAAATATTTTGGTTTTGTGTAGATCTTTGTATAATGGAGATGTTTAGGTACTTATGTAGTATGGATTTAGAACTGAGTGACAATGTACTTTTGTGCCCATGTTATAAAAAACAGGTAAAATTGATTTTTTTGGGTCTAAATTTAGATCATTTACCAGCAGTCCCCAACCTTTTTGGAACCAGGGACCATTTTCATGGAAGACAATTTTTTCATGACCAGGGAGAAGGGGGTGATGGTTTCAGGATCATTCAAGTGCATTACATTTTTGTGCACTTTATTTCTATTACTACTACATTGCAATATATAATGAAGTAATTATACAACTCACCATAGGTTGGGGACCCCTGATTTAAACCATTACCTCCTGTACAGTTGATTTGAAGATACTTGATAGCAATGAGATTTTGTGGCGATAACATGTGCATTTATGCATAAAGAAAGCTAAAAGAATTTCAGGCATCTGGTGGGGCACTATGGCTCATGCCCATAATCCTGGCACTTTGGGAGGCCAAGATGGGAGGATCACTTGAGCCCAGGAGTTCAAGACCAGCCTGTGCAACATAACGAGACCAAAAGTCTGCCTATCACACCCTAATCCAGAGTTTCTGTTTTTACTTTTTTTTTTTTAAGAATGGGTAGATTCTTTGTTTTTATGGCATCTCAGAAATACATTTAAAAAGATTATTTTATTCAGCATTCTAGTTGTTTCCCTTAGATGAGTCATTCAGGGTGTTTAATCTGCCACAGTGCTAGAAACTAAAGCCATGATTACTTTTTAATTGGGTGTTTCAAATCACTAGACTTTAATATGGTCCTTAAGTAAGAACTCCATGCTTTACCCCACTAACCAGTTAAGCTCTAAGATCAATACACATTTCATGTGTTTAGTTGGCAGATATTTGTGAGTTAGCAGATATTTGTGAAATAACTACTAACCAGATATTTAGCATGCCAAGTATTTTTCTAGATGTTGAGATATAGCTATGAACTTTAATGAAAGTTCCTGTCCTCTGGGAGCTTACATTCCAAATGGAATAATGAATTAGAACCTGGAAAGACAAAATCACTTCAAAATGACTGACAGCTCTCAGGCTCACAGAACTTGTCTGTAGCCTGAATAACACGTTAACAAAAAGAATCTATCTCAGCAGTCCATCAGTTACAACTAATGTTGTAACAAGGAATTAAGTCAGTTGAAGGAATTGCTACTTGCCTACAAGTCTAAGTGCTCCGCTAGTGAGGTTTAAAAAAAAATGCTTCTTTTTTCCTCCCAATTCTCCTCCCCTCCTCTCATCCACTAAGCACATTGCTTTCTACCCACCAGCCCCCACCCTCCACCCCCTCCCACACAGATTCTACCCTTCTGGGGAATAATAAAAGGTAGAGAGGATACGTTAAATAAAAAGTGTGCTAAATTGGTGAGTATTTTATAGTTATTTGCCAAAATGGGTTATATAAATTTGAAATTGAAACTAGCAAAAATTATTTAATTGTTAAAAAAATTGTTAAAGGGGCCTACTTATAATCTGAATAGCATTTTAGTTTAAGAGAGCTGATAATATCAGACTAGGTCCTGTAAAGTTTATTAAATTCTATAAGAAGCAGTATAGAATTAAAGAACATTTGAGTAAGTCCTGAAAGTGTTTTGTTTGATGTTATATAGAAAAAGCTAGAAAAGCTACTTATATTAATTATGTGGTTTTAAGAAAAGCAGTGAAGGCAGTTCAAAGTCTGCTTTTAAAGTTCTAGTTTACCCAGGTCAAGTAAGTTCAAGATTTAAAGGAGATACATGTGTATTACCTGCATTTTGTTTCTTATGTCTAATATTCCCTGCTTTTTGCGGGGGAGAGTGTCACTGCCATTCATTCAAACAATATTTCTTGAGCACTGCAATGGTTCTGGCTCAGTTCCAGGTCCCTGATATCTTAGAGTTTACCTTTTAGCGGATGTAGACAAATATATGTAACAAATATGTGTCAGGTACTGCTAGGAGCTATGAATAAAGATAAAGCAGGATAAAAGAGATAGTAGTGTCTGGATGAGGGGAGACTGAGAGTAACATTATATGGGGTGATAAGATTTTGATAGAAACTTGAAAAAGTGAGGGAGCAAGCCCTATGGCTATCTAGGGGAAGAGCATTCTAGACAGAGGTTCTAAGGTAGGAACATGCTTGATGTATTCAAGAAACACCAAGGAGTCTGAACAAAACAGGACAAGTTTGAGGTGTGAGATGAGAGTTCAGCTATGGTTATGTTCTATCTGATGTACCTACTAGACATCCAAGTGGAAGGAAGTATCAAATAACCAGTTAGATGTATGAGTTTGGAGTAAAGTGGAGAGAATTAGGGCTTGAATAACCAGCAAAGGAGACTGAGCAGGAGTGGTCATGGGGATAGGAAAAAGAAGATGGTGTCCCAGCGCCTAAATGAAGAGAGTGTTTTACAAAGTGTAGAGAGGGATAAACAATGTCACATACTGCTGATGGGTTCAGTAAGGGGAGAACTAAGAAATAACTATTGGATTTGGATGTATGTAAGGATCATTGCCAAACTTGTGATCTGAAAGAGCAGTTTCAGTGAAGTTGTAAAGACGAGATCCACATTGGAATGAGTACTAAATAAACTGATGAAATGAAGTGGAAACAATGGCTTTTTAAATAAGTTTTTGTATAAAAAGAGGGTAAAGAAATGTATGTAGAAATAAGATAGGTGTTAAGCGGCTGGAAAGCATTGTTAAAGTGTAGTCTTCAAGTCAAGGCACATAAACACATTTGAAATGGATGTATTTGGTTCTTTCTGTGTTTTGGTCCAGTTTACAGGTGGCAAATAAAAGCTATAGGAAATTTTAACAGTAAAATTAATAATCTGGGGGCAGTAAATTCCTGTTATTCTAAATATGTAATTATTAGAATATGCTTTTGCATGGTCTGTGTATATGTGCAATATCTCATTTAATCTTCATAATATCTCATTAGAATAGGCGTAATTATCCTCATTTTATAAATAAGGAAGCTGATGCTTAGGGAGCTTAAATAACTTTCCTAGTTTGTTGAGTTAGGCCAAAACATGGAGACTGGTCTGGGTTTATGGGGATGTGTAAGAATGATGACAAATTACGCCCAAAGCAAATATTAGGCTATGCAAAGCATGTATGTAAGTTAAGGATGCTCCCCATTGCCTCTATTATGTTCTCTGAGCATCTAGGTAGCTTAGATGAGTCTAGGTAGCCTGGGCAATTGGGATGTCCACTAGTCTGAAGAGTAGGGAATTATAGGCTACCTGCTACTACCTGCTATACCACCAGCTACATCAGCATTCAAAAACAACTTCTACTATAATATGTACAATACTTCTGCTACTCAGCAAGCTCCATCCCTCCCCAAAAAAAGTTTTGTGAATACCTCAAAGATATGGAACCAATATAAAAAAAGGTAGAGAGAAAGCGGACAATAGTATACCTTAAGTTTTGACTGTCATATATTTTTAAAATTCAGAAAAGCATAAGGTAGACCAGTGTTTTCCAACAGTATATAACATTTCCCAGGGAATATTTGAAAATGTGTTTATTGATTGTGGAAATTGGTTGCCAAAATTACTGCAGGTGTTACTGGCAGACATTGAGTCTAAACTACCTATAATGTGCAGGTCAATGTTATACATCAAAAAAATTGTATTATTTGAAATGTTAGTGATGCTGTTATTAAGAAACATATTTATAGATGAAAAAGTCATGTAACATGAAATAGCATGGTGATAAACAATGAATAACAAAGCTGTAATGGCCCAACATTACCACCCAGTGATTGGCATGGGAGAACTGTTGGTTCTCAAATGTCTTCTTCACTACCGCTTCTATTCTCTCTTATGACATGCTTCCTTCTTTGCCTCCATCTTTTTTCACAGTTTAGTTCTTGCCATCTCAGGTAATTTTTATTTTATATGTATACCCATATGCTTTGAAATCTGTGCTGCTCCCTTTCTCCTTCCTAGTTTCTGTCTCTATAGAGTGGGGGAAATGTCATGTCATAGAAAGAACACTAAACTACAAATTAGATAGCTTGAATTCTAATCCAGGTTCTGCCAGTGTTAGGTCATTAAATATGAAATGTCCGATTTCGAATCAAAAGTTTATTATATCTCAAACAAGAAGCAGTACAATTAATCAAAGTATGCACCTAAACTATCAACACAGTTTTCAAGCCATCTTATTAGTAGCTTGCTTATGCCAGAGTGCTGTGATTACAGGCATGAGCCACTATGCCCTGATGCAAGTAGCATTTTTCTTTGTTTTTTTAAAGCATCAAATAAGGTTTCATCTTTTTCTTAAAAATAAAAATCATCAGAGGCTTTACTTCTGTTGTTAAAATTGCTTCATCAATCTTAATTATTGAAAATAAGAATAGGAGTGAGTTACCAGGTTCTGTAGTATTCTAGATTTCTGTTGATACCAATGGCTTTGTATGTAAAAGTATCTCAATTTGCATGTATCTTGTTTTAATCCTGGTAGTAAAGAACATGATAGTTATTTGTGTAATAAAAAAATGATACTGTTTGAAAAATGATCTCAATTGTGTTGTCAGTATTGGATGACATAGACAGTTGTTAGCCTTAGATGAATCAAGATACCATCATGTGAAACGTGAGTTGGAGACATCAGGTATTCCTATGGTTTAATTTAATGACTTGGGTCAAGTTTGCAAAATGCAATTACTCTTTCAGTGCTAAGTAGGCAGTTCCTACTTATTAATAGAAAGCTACGTTAACAATAAAAATTTCACTTTTTTATATGTCTTTTTATCAAAGAGTTTTTTCTTTCTTTTTTTCTTCTTTGGGCCAGGGTTCCCATTGAGCCATCTTCTCTCTTGTCACTACCACCAAGTCACAATCAGGTAATTTTTAGTAGGTTTATTTATTTATTTTTGCTTTTTAAACTAATATGGTTTTCTTCTTTTATAATATGTAAATTGCCATTAATTGCCAGATATTTGTATACTTTCCTACCTTTCTCCTCAATCAGTTGATATATAACATATGCACGTGATACTTGCTAACTGTTTTTAGACAACAGACAAAAAATAAATCTTTATCTACATGTCGGCTTTATAGTACACATAGAAACACTAGGTAACCAAAGTAAAAATTGCTTGAGTCAGCAGTAGTTCCCCAAATTGATGGGGAATATTGATAAGTTGATCCTTAGCCCCACTTGTATATGCAAAATGATACTTTTGTTCCAGCTATCACATAAAGACGTGGAACTTCATCGGAGAAGAGAACAATTAGTAGAGCGTACTCGGAGAGAGGCACAGCTCGCTGCCCTGCAGTATGAGGAGGAGAAAATAAGGACCAAACAGATTCAGAGAGATGCTGTCCTGGACTTTGTCAAAGTGAGTCATTTGAATTCATTGAGTGATACCCTTAAAGTTACTTAGAAGTAAGTGCTTATTTGTTTTGCAGAGACTGTCAGTTTTTCTTAATTAACATACCAACTTTTCTCCTCTCTCTTGTATAAGGAATCTTGACTAAATAGTGTGACTGTCTCTCTTTCTTGTGCCTATCTGCCTGAGGACAATACACGTGATTATCTTGCTCTTTAACAGTAATCTCTTCCTCTTAATTAGCAATCTGTCATGATATATACCACTTTATTATCTAGCTGCTGTTTTCTCAATCTCTAGTGTCATAGTAAAGATCACTTAAGATCATGAAAATGAAAGTGCTATGCAAACTGTAAAAGTTCCATGTAAACGTAACCTTATTCTGTGAACCTCTCTCCAACTTCCTCACTTTTAGTAAATACCCAAAATTACCGGGCTCACAGGCTTAATCCTGTACAGTCACCTTCGATCCTTTCCTTTCTGTTGTTCTCCATACCTGTTCAATTAATAATCCTGGTTAATATTTTTCTCTTAACATTTTGCAGCCTCTATAGTAGCATTTGAACCTTGTTCATTTTATTTTGCCTATGTTATTTATCCTTTTGATCTGAAATCATCCTGGATTTTTTCTTCATACTTAAATAATTATTTCTAATTTTAATTGCTTAATATCTGTCTCTCTCATTAATCTGTAAACTCCATGAAGACAGGAACCATGTCTGTTTTACTCACTGCTACATCCCTAGATCTTAGCAGGTCTTAGCCCATAGTAAAGTTCAATAAATATTTGTTGAATGATTAAATGAATGAATTACTCTTGTTGTCTAAAGGCTCTCTCTCCTGTATTTCATAACTTTAGCCAAAGACCATCTTCTTTATGTACCATGCACATGTCTGTTTTACTGTTTCACATGATACATGCTTTGTTTCCCATATGTATCAAGCCCATGATGATGATTTTTAGCTCTCTTGCCTGATTCCTCTTCATCTAACAAGTTCCGTTGCCTGTTACTTTCTACCAAAATTTAGGCAAATCTTTTGACTAATAGCAAAAAACTAAAATTAATATTCCTCTAAATAGAGGTTTACAAAGGTACCTCTCAATCCCTCCTTCCCTCCAAGCCTTCTATCTAGCCTGAGATGTTTCTTCCTTTTGCCTTCTTCTCACCTCTAATAATGAAGGATTACTTACACCTTGTCAGGGAAATAAAACAGAACAGAAAATAAGACAGCTTGCAATAAAAATACTCATTTTATATCGAAGACAAAGGAAGAGTTAGAGAAAAAGTATCATCAGAATTGACCTTTAAGGAAATGGTACGGGACCCTGAAGAAAGGTAGGATATAGCCAGGAAGAAAAGAATGGACGATGGTGTAAAGGTGGATTCATTCCAGGTTGAGGGAATAGGATGGGCGCTAGGAATGAGCTTATGTGATTTATACATTTAAAATAGTGGCACTTAAGGGGAAATAACAGCTGGCTTAGAGAGCTTGTGTTGAAAACCAATAGGAAAAAGGAATTGGTGAGAAGATAAAGATGATGATGATAATAATACTTCCTAAAATGTACTGAATGCTTACTATGTACCAGGCACTGTTTTAAGTACTTTATATGTATTTATTCATTTAATCCTCCCAGCAATCCTGTAAGATAGGTACTATTTTTCTCTTTGTGTGGATAAGGAAACTAATGTTCAGAGAGAATAGCAATTTACCTAAGGTTAGATATTCAGCTACTAAATGGCAGAGCAAGGATTCTAATAAGGCAGGCTGGCCCCAAACCCTTCCTTGTGACCACAATGCTATACTGCCTGTTAGTAATTAATAGTGGCTAACATTTAGTATGTCCTAAGTGGTGTTCTAGGCATTTTGCGTGAATTAACTGATTTAGCTTGCCTTCTGTAGAAGTCACACAGCTAGTAAGAGATAATCACATTGTAGCCAGTTTTGATTAAATGTCAAATTAGAGTTTAATCTTGATTTATTAAGCAGAAAAGAACAATTTTAAGTTCTTAAGCAGGAGAAAAACATGAGAGATACTTCTGAGAAACTAATCTACTCATGTTAGAATAGGTTAGGAGGAAAGAGACTAGAAAGAGGAAAATGAAATAGAAAGTAATAGCAATAATTAGACTAGGGTGCAAAATGAAGGCATAAAACTGGGTGATTTCTAAGGTTTCTAAGGGTTGTCAGCGTTGCAGAGTGGCAAGAGCTTAAAATCAGAAATATTTGAATTTGAATTCAGCTTTGCCACTCACTGTGCTTGACTTTTGGAAAGTTACTGAACAATTCTATGCTTTTAGTTTCCTCCTGTGCGTGATATTTAACTATTACATATTAACTGTTTCAAAATTATGACAGATATATCTAATACTTAATACTATGGTGGGTGCTGTACCTCCTACCACGACATTGGATTTTCTAAATTAACTGTAAGAGAGATTTTTAAAGAAGCATCATTATACCTTGTACATAGATGGGTAGTGAATGATGAATAAGTCATTCAAGATGAGTTGGGGCAAAAAGAAGTTCCCAAAGCAAGGTTTTAAGACTAAAAGAAAGAGTCTACCATTGTGGAAACAATGTAGGATTTGGAGTCAGGAGACCTAGGTGCAAATGTTCATTATGCTACTTACCAACTCTGTGACCTTGCACATGTCACACAACCTCTCTTCTCAATTTTCTCATCTCTAAATAAATACGATTATGGTATTTGTTTATCTCATAGAGTAAGAAGAATCACCTGAGATACTGTGTATAAGAACACATTATAAGACACTAATATGGATGTTAAAATATTATTATTTGACATAATAACAAATTAGCAAATTGGGGAAAATAGTTCATTTGGGAAATTATGAGTTTGTTCTTGGATATGTTGAATATGAGGTGACAGTGGGATTTCCCAGTAGAGAGTTTCCACGGCAACTAAAAATACAAACCTCAGGTTTGCTGATAGAGAGCTAAAGTTGTTAGCATCAGAGTGATATTTGAAGTCATTAGAGGGAGAAAATAAGTTCATTGAGAGAAGATAGTGAGAGATCAGTACTCTGTGAATGTGTTTGTGTAGATATATATGTAGTTTTTTTATAATTTCTATTTAC